GTCCCGGGAGCTGGAGTCAGGGACAGGGCAGGCCAGAGGGCCATCGGCTGGGCTCTGAGGGGCGAGCTGGGCAGGAGCCGCGGGAGCCGGGCGGCCGCCTCCCCTGGGGACAGAGGGTAGCGGCCGGTGTGGTGGGTCGGGCTGGGTCGGGGTGACTGCAGACTAGGCTGCCGGGTGAGGGGACGCCCTTCGGCGGCTTAGCTCAGCCCAGGGCAGCCCTGGGCACACTCGCCCAAGACGCTCCGCTACCGTTGCCGCGGCGGGAACTCCTGGACCCTGTCCCACGAGAGGCCCGAGGGTCGAGAGGGGAGCCGGCCGCAAGTCAGTTGCTTTATCTTAAACACGAAGACACTAACGCAGGTTCCAGAACACGTTCCACTAACTTGTCAAAAACGAAGATTCCCCCCGCCCCCGCAAGCTCGGATGGATGGTGCCGCAGCGAACCCCACCCCCACCCCCGCCCCGCCTCGCGGACGGCCTCCCCGGCCTGGCCTGGCCCCTCCGAGGGTCCTTCCTGGGGCCGCCGGCGTACCCCACCCGCCCAGACCCGGGCACCTCCCGGCGGAGCCCCACCCGCGCCCTGTGCTGCTCCACTCGCGGCCCCCTGTGGCCTCGCAGGCTGCACCCGGCCAGCCCCTCTCCTCATCTCCCTAGGCTGACCAGCAGGTGCAGGGTAGCTCGTCCTGCCAGCTGCCCGCCCCAATGTGGAGGCCGGCTGGACCTGTCCTCTTTTCTCACGCTGCGTTCCAATCCTAGACATTCCTTCTGCTCAGCCCTTAGCGCAGGTCCAAAACCCGACCCCTGCTCACCACCCTGGGCTGCTGCAAAGGCCTGGGACTGTGTAACCTTCCTCCTGCCTCCCTCCACGTGGTCCTATCAGGGCTGTCAGAACCCTCCAACTCAGAGCAAAGGCCCACGTCCTTGGGTGACTCCAGGCCCTCCCAGATCAGCCCCTCCCTAGCCTCCTCCCCTACCCCTCTGGCCACTTTGCTCACCCCACACACCCCGTTTGGGGCCTTCGCACCTGCTGTTCCCTCTCCAGAGTGGCCATTCCTCCATACGGCTAAGTTTAAACTCATTGGCCCCTCCCTGCTTCTTTCCCTCCACAGCAGGCTCTCCTCTGGAGGTGTCCTCTGCTCTAACTCTCCTTACTGTTGACTTCCTCCATGGTAATGTCACTGCACGAGGGGGGTTCCTGGGGGGCTCTCTGCTATCTCCCCATTGCCTAGAGCAGTGCCTTGCACACAGAGCATTCAGGAAAGATTTGTGGGTGGATGGCTGGATGGAGGGAGGGAGGGAAGGATAGAGTGGACACAACCTCTAAAATCTGAGTGTGGGAAGGGGCTCCGAGGCCTCCGGGAAGGGGCTCCGAGGCCTCCGAAAAGGAGAGTTCTGGCCCAGATGACTGTTTCTTACCCTCATGCTGAGGGGAGGTGGCTGTGTATGGAGAGAGGGCAGATTCAGATGGGGCTGGGTGGCTGGGGGCTGATCGGAGTGAAGCTGGTAATCATTCGGGAGGATGCCGCAGAGAGGCTAAGTCTTCTCGGGGGTCTTCTCGGGATACGCTTCCAGTTGCACAGCCTGTGCTGGAGCCCTGGGGTCCCTGGCAGCTGCTAGGAACCCGGCCTTGTAGGAGGAAGGTGAGGCTGACTGGAGCACCCAAGAAGCAGCCCTTCCTGGAAGCTGAGCACAGGGTCCCTGGGAGCTAGGGCAACACTGTGTGATGTGGCCATGGAGGGGTTCCCAGCCCACAAGTGTCCATGCTGAACCTGCCTCTGCCTGGCTCCATTCTCTGCCTCCTGTCCCAGAGACACAGCCACCAGACATCTAGGGGCAGAGCAGGGTCACCTCCAGCCCCGACACACTTCCCTGCTTTTTCTGATCGTTTCTGGGTGAAACCTGGGGGGGGGGGTGTCCTCTTTGAAGATGCTGCCTTTACATTCCACAGGGAGGCCCAATTCCCAGTGAACCTCTGGTCCCGCCACCACCCACAGGGCTTCTTTTCAACCAAGTCAGCCTATCCTGAGACTCCTTGGCCCTCCTCCTGGAGGGGGGCTACTTCTGAGCGTCGCCTGAAGCAGTTCAAAGGGTGGAGGAGCAGCACATTAGCACGTGGATCTGTGGATTTGGAGTGGACACTGACGCAGGGCATAGCCTGCCCGAGGACAAGGGAAAGGCATGCCTACAGAGGGGAGAAAGCGAACAACCCCCTGGGATTGCCCCGGGGGTGGACGAGGCCTAACAGCGTGGGGTGCACACCTCCCCACCCATGGCTCACCACCCAGGTGAGGAGCCGGGCTGTTCGGCAGGATCTGTGTGCATTTGTAGAGTGACATGCTCCTGTGCTCCAAGGTTGCTGGAAGGCTCAGTTCACAGTTGGAGGCAGGGCTGTGGTGGCCCCCCACTCCAGGGCCACCGGCCACATCTGCAGACTGTGTGTGTGGCGCCCCTGGAGTTGTGCACGGCAGTCTGCACTCTGTGTGCTGAGCACACCCAGAGGCCTGCAGCGGGGGGGTCTTGGGAAGTGCCCTCAGGCCCCTGAAGGTGCGTGGTGATCTGACAGCTGCCCCAATCATTGCCTCTATGGAGCCGCCAGCACACATAGGAAAGGCCATGCCTTACGCCTTACTCAAAGCCCTTTACATTCTTTAAGTATCCAGCCCCAACGAACTGCAATCTAGACAACCTGCTGCCAGCACCTGAGGTTCAAAATTAAGAAAATACAGGAGGGAAAAGTCTAGTCTGTCACACTAATTTCTGGTTGTGAATTTCATTCATACGGTTTGTGAAAAACATCTTGTGAATAAAGACGCAAAATGTTTAGAAACGATTTACACTTTTTTTTGACAAGAACAAGAGCTGAGGTAGTAACTTTACTGCCATGCTTTTAAGGGAAGGCCCTTATTGCCCGTGTCTACAAAGGGTTTACTGTTAAACCCCAAGCGGCACGCAGTGCTCTTATTAAGAGGGAAGAGACCCGGTTTGATCATACTCAGAGCCAGTAGTTCCACGCCTCCCCTTTCTCCAACCATCCACAGGTGTCCCTGGGTGCCAGACTCGATCTAGGCACCGAGAAGAAGTCCCTCTTGGAGCTGACCTTCAACGTCTGAATTTGAAACCACTTCTGCTCGCATCACCTTGATATGTTCACAGTTTCTTGTTAGATTGGGACAATAAAACTGCCCTTCTCCAAAACAATCTGGAGTGTCAGCTCTTCTGGGGAGACGGCCTCTCCCAGGTGAGTCCTCAGGTGGGACAGGTGAACCTATACTTTTTTCTTCAGGAACAGGGTTTTGACCCATCTAGAACGTGGGCTTGTGGGGCAGCAGAGTCTGGGGGAGCCGTGTGGGGTTTGAGGAGGGTGCCCCGGGTCAGCCCTCGGCCAGGCTGAGCGGAGGGTCTCATTCAAATCAGGCCTTCCAAGGTTTCCAGCCTTGACCCACGGTAACAATGACCTCTTCCCTCGTCACCCAGGACCTGCTGACTGGACCGGCAGACCCGAGCCTCCGCTGCCGCGGGGTCGCGGGACTGAGACCCTGGATCCGGGGATGGGCGGGGGCGCGGGCCAGGACATATGCCCGCTGAGTTCCTTTGGCATGGGTCCGAGTCAGATTTCCCGACATCGTTGCCACCAGCCTCGAGGGCCAGGATCCCAGCGTGCGCATCCAGGCCCAAGTGAGGGCCGCTCCTGGGAGGGAGTCGGGGGGAGAGGGGCGAAGGGGGCCGGGGGACCAGGAGGCCCGGAGTCCTGGACACAGTAGCCCACAGTTGCGGTAGCTGCTCGCTGGGTCCGTCCGCGTCACGCGTGGGACAGGTCTTGGGTGTGGCGACCTGGAACTGGACCCGACGTGGGCAGGGTGCTGCCGCAGGTCTTGCCCCCCACCTTCCAGCAGGAGGGGTAGTGCCCAGACTCTGCGCCACTGCCCCCGCTCCCCCTCCCCCGCCCTGGAACTGCTTCCTGCAGCGTCCCCACTTCGGGTCTCCTTCCCGCATCCGCATTCGAAAGTCCCCTTCTCACACCTCACCTTGAACTCGCCCTCCTCCTGCCCCTCCTTGGGTTTCACCTCAGCCCACTGAGGCTCCACAGAACCCTTGGCCACATCCTCGAAGCTCCAGGCACAGGCTGCCCCTCGGTGGGTCCTGCTCTCCCTGGGGTCCCGACCACTCCTCCGCAGGGTATTGGGCTTGTCTCCCCCTTTCTGGAGGCAGGACACCCTCCATGGGTCACCTACTCTGGGCCGCGCCCCCAGCGCCAGGGCGGCACATCCAGTGTCCCCTCAGCATCTCTTTGCGGCCCCTAGTCTGAGAGCCTCGGACATGCGCCGCCTCCCCTCACCCCTGAAAACCCACCCCGTCCGGAAGCCACCGACCAAGGTCGGTAGTCTCTCTCCGGGCGCCCATAGCCCACCGTCCGGCAAGGACCGGCCCCCGGCCCTCTCCCAGGGTCCCGGGATCTCCGCTTACGCCCTTGGAACCCCAGACCCCCACCGGACCCTTGTGCACTCTTCTGGACCCCCACTTGCTCCCGGAGCACCACTCGATACACGGGTCAGATCGCGCCCTCCTGAGCTAGGCCTCTGGAGGTAGGGTGGCCAACCACTCCGCTCGTCCGGGACTGCAGCGCTGAAACCCAGGCAGTCCCAAGAGAAGGGAAAATGAAGACCCATCCTATTCTTGAACAAAATCGGCAACATGTAACGCAATGATATCAAACCAAGCCCAGCGAAGTATCAGGAAGATAGTAGTCAAGACCAAGTTCACCCAGGAATGAAAGGCTGGTCTAACGTTAGAAAAGCAACCAGTAAAATTCCTCATGATTACTAGTTTGAAGGAGAAAACTCGATCATTTCAACAAATGCAGAAAGAGCTGCTGATGGAATTAAAAATCTACTCACGACAATAAAAAAAATAAGAAAGAAAACTGCCAGCAAGCTTAGAAGTAAATTTCATTCACTTGATAAACAATAGCTATAAAAACCCACAATAAACAAGCTTATGTGCATGTGAAAGCTGAACAATGAATAAGAAGGACGGAAGAATTGATGCCTTTGAATTATGGTGTTGGCGAAGAATACTGAATATGCCATGGACTGCCAGAAGAATGAACAAATCTGTCTTGGAATAAGTACCATCAGAATGCTCCTTAGAAACAAGGATGGCGAGACCTCGTCTCATGTACTTTGGACACATTATCAGGAGGGACCAGTGCCTGGAGAAGGATATCATGCTTGGTAAAGTAGAGGGTCAGCAAAAGAGAGGAAGACCCGCAACGAGATGGATTGACACAGTGGCTGCAACAATGGGCTCAAACATAGCAATGATTGTGAGGATGGCGCAGGACCAGGCAATGTTTCTTTCTGCTGTACATAGGGTTGCTATGAGTCGGAACCAACTCGAGGGCACCTAACAACAACAACAACATTGAAGAAACACTGGCAAGTTTTCTCTTTGTGACCAGGAACAAATCCAGGATGCCGGCTATCCCCACTGCTGCTCAACAGTATGTTGGAAGTACTGGCTAGCACCTTAAGGCAGAAAAAAGAAATAAAAGTGTAAGAACTGGAAAAAGAGAAACTGAACACTCATTCTTAGCACATGAGATGATTGTCTGTATATACTATACAAAGAACATACAAATTATTAGAACTAATAAGAAAGTCCAGCAAGATTGTTGGCTACAAAACCAATGTTTCAAAACCAATTGCATTTTTATACACTTGCAACAAACTTTTTAGAAAATGAAATTCAATTTTAAAATATTAGTTGCACAGCATCAAAAATATGAAATACCTAGGAAAAATGTCCAACAAAAAATGTGCCAGACATTTATGAAGAATTCACCAGTGAAGTCATCTGGGCCTGGAGACTTCTTTGTGGGAATGTTTTTAATTATGGATTTATTCTCTTTAATAGATATCAGACTTTCTGTATCTTTTTGTGTATTTTGATTAATTGTACTTTTCAAGGAATTTGTCCATTTCATCTCAAATTCTATATTCATTGATGTGAAGTCCGTAATATCCTTTAGATGACTGTAAGCTCTGCAATGTTTTAATTTTTCACAGTGGTAATTTTTCTTTTGCCTCCTTTTTATGATAAATATTGCTGGAGGTCTATCAACATGATTAATCTTCTCAAAGAACCACATTTTGGTTTTATGGATTTTCTCCATTGTATTTCTGCCTTCTATTTCATAGATTTCTTCATTACTTCTTTCCTTTGACTTTATTTTGATGTCCTTTTGCTAGCTTCATGAATTGGAAGCTTAGATTTTTGATTTTTAGTGTTTATCTTTGTTTAATATATGACTTTTTCAATAAGCTATAAATTTCCCTCTGAAAACTACTTTTGCTGCATACTGGAAGTTTTAATATGTTATATTTTCATTCCACCACTCATCTGTCAGTTTGTTGTACTGTGGTGGCTTGCGTGTTGCTGTGATGCTGGAAGTTATGCCACTGGTATTTCAAATACCAGCAGAGTTACCATGGTGGACGGATTTCAATGGAGCTTCCAGACTAAGACAGACTAGGAAGAAGAATGTGGTAAACTACTTCTGAAAAAAATGGCCACTGAAAACCTTATGGGCAGCAGTGGAACATTGTCTGATATAGTGCTGAAAGATGAGCCCCTCAAGTTGGAAGGCACTCAAAATATAACTAGGGAAGAGTTGCCTCCTAAAAGTACTATCGACTTTAATGATGTGGAAGGAATAAAGCTTTCAGGACCTTCATTTGCTAATGTGGCAAGACTTAAAATGAGAAGAAACATCTGGAAACATCCATTGGTAATCAGAACGTGGAATGTACGGAGTATGAAACAAGGAAAATTGGAAGTAGTCAAAAATACAGTAGAACACATAAAAAGATTGATATCCTAGGCATTAGTGAGCTGAAATAGACTGATATTGGCCATTTTGAATCGGACAATCATACAGTCTCCTATGTCAGGAATGACATATTGAAGAGGAATGGCATCACATTCATCATCAAAAAGAACATTCCAACATCCATCCTGAAGAAGAGTGCTGTCAGTGATAGGGTAATATCCATATGCCTACAAGGAAGACCAGTCAATATGACTATTATTCAAATTTACCCACAAACCACTAATGCCAAAGATGAAGAAACTGAAGATTTTAACCAACTTCTGCAGTCTGAAACTGATCAAACATGCAATCAAGATGCACTGACAATTAGTGTTGATTGGAATGTGAAAGCTGGAAACAAAGAAGGACCGGTAGCTGGAAAATATGGCCTTGGTGATAGAAATGATGTCAAAGATCACATGATAGAATTTTGCAAGACCAATGACTTCTTCACTGCAAATGCCTTTTTCAACAACATAAGTGGTGACTATATATGTGGACCTTGCTGGAAGGAATACACAGCAATCAAATTGACTACATCTGTGGAAAGAGATGATAGAGAAGCTCAATATCATCAGTCAGAATAGGGCCAGGGGCCAACTGAGGAACAGACCATCAATTGCTCATATGCAAGTTTAAGTTGAAGCTAAAGAAAATTAGAACAAATCCAGGATAGTCAAAGTAGAACTTTTGAGTATATCCTACCTGAATTTAGAGACCATCTCAAGAATAGATTTGATGTGTTGAACACTAATGACTGAAGACCAGACGAGTTGTGGGATGACATCATACATAAAGAAAGCAAAAGCTCATTAAAGTCAGGAAAGAAAGAAAAGACTAAAATGGATGTCAGAAGAGACTCTGAAACTCACTCTTGAAAGTAGAGTAGCTAAAGCAAAAGGGAGAAATGATGAAGTAAAAGAGCTGAAAAGAAGATTTTAAAGGGTGGCTCGAGAAGACAAAGTGACGTATTATAAAGAAATGTGCAAAGATCTGGAGTTAGAAACCAAAAGGGAAGAACATGCTTGGCATTTCCCTAGCTGAAAGAACCAAAGAAAAGTTCAAGCCTTGAGTTGTAATATTGAAGGACTCTACGGGGAAAGTATTAAATGACACAGGAAGCATCAAAAGATGGAAGGAATATCACAGAGTCACTGTACCAAAAAGAATTGGTCAATGTTCAATCATTTCAGGAGGTAGCATATGATCAGGAACTGATGGTACTGAAGGAAGAAGTCCAAGCTGCACTGAAAATACTGGCGAAAAACAAAGTTCCAGGAATTGACGGAACACCTACCGAGATGTTTCAACAAATGGATGCAGCACTGGAAGCCCTTACTTGTCTATGCCAAGAAATTTGGAAGACAGCTACCTGACCAACTGACTGGAAGAAATCCATATTTATATCCATTCCAAAGAAAGCTGATTCAATAGAATGCAGAAATTATTGAACAATATCATCACTATCACACACAAGTAAAATTTTGCTGACAATCATTCAAAAATGATTGCAGCAGTACTTCTACAGGGAACTGCCAGAAATTCAGGCCAGATTCAGAAAAGGACACAGAACAAAGGATATCATTGCTGATGGCAGATGGATCTTGGCTGAAGGCGGAGAATACCAGGAAGATGTTCACCTTTGTTTTATTGACTATGCAAAGGCATTCTACTGTGTGGATCATAACAAATTATGGGAATTCCAGAACACTTAATTGTGCTCATGTGGAACCTGTAGACCAAGAGGCAGTCGTTCCAACAGAACAAGGGGATACTGTGTGGTTTAAAACCAGGAAAAGTGTGTGTCAGGGTTATATCCTTTCACCATACTTATTCAATCTGTATGCTGAGCAAATAAGCTGGACTATATGAAGGAGAACACAGCATCAGGACTGGAGGAAGACTCATTAACAACCTGCAATATGCAGATGACACAACCTGGCTTGCTGGAAGTGAAGAGGACTTGAAGAACTTACTGATGAAGATAAAAAACTACAGCCTTCAGTATGGATTACACTTCAACATAAAGGAAACAAATATCCTCACAACTGGACCAGTAATGAACATCTTGATAAACGGGGAAAAGATTAAAGTTATCAAGGATTACATTTTACCTGGATCCACAATCAATGCCCATGGAAGCAGCAGTCAAGAAATCCAATATAGTGCATTGGGCAAATCTGCTGCAAAAGACCTCTTTAAAGTATTAAACAGCAAAGATGTCACTTTGAGGGCTAAGATGAGACCAACCCAAGCCATGGTATCTTCAATTGCCTCATATACATGTGAAAGCTGGACAGTGAATAAGAAAGACTGAAGAATTGATGGCTTTGAATTATGGTGTTGGTGAAGAATATTGAATATACTGTGGACTGCCAGAAGTACAAACAAACCTATCTTGGAAGAAGCACAGCAAGAATGCTCCTCAGAAGCTAGGATATCGAGACTTGG